CAATACCACGAGCCTCAGAAAAATGCAAATCAGACCTGTAGCTGCAGGAAAGAACCAGGCTGGACACAGGTTGAAGTGCTAGCTTTCAGGGGGTGGGCTAACCAGAGGTTCTGGAGAGCCCCGAGCTCCCTCTGCAGTGGCTATTTAGTAAGGTTATACACAACAGGTGTGGAGAGTTAAGGTTATGACACCCTAGGGCGGCACGAAGGATGAACACGTGCTCTTTCCTCACACGTTCTTTCCCTACAACCCCATGAAGAAGCCCCAAGCATCAGTGTTTAACACCTGCATACCAAGGAGTGACCGATCTTATCTCATTCTGGAGCACTGAGTTACTTGGGGGATTGCCCCTAAGTCACAAAACATCTCTAGGCTCACCAGGAGACTGTCCTGTTCTCGACATTTCCTTTTAACGTGATAAGAATCAGTAACTGTCCTTGCAAGCATGGTGTCCATTCCTCTACAAGACCTCCTGAAAATATCAGAATGCAACCAGCAGAAGGGCTGAAGTGGAAAGAGTTGCTGACACCAAGTGTTCCCAAAACAAAACAAAACAAAACAAATGCTGGGCAGCTGCTGACTTGGCTGTAACCCGGGCCAGTACCTTGGACAGCTCTGTCCCTCTTTGCTTGTCAACTACATGAACCTGGTGGTTCTACTCTGAGGTATACAGTGTTAAATAAAAAATTATTGAGCGATACTTATTAAAGCACAATAAGGAAGTTTATTCAGAAATGTCATGATAGTTAGAGGGACCCCAGCAGTGGGATTTTACAGGGGGAGAAAGAGATTGGGCTTAACTCCAAATACAGCACAGGCAGGTGGGAATTTATAGCCAAGGAGTAAGGAGGGGGTTATTGCATAAAAAATTACTGAAATAAAACATCAAGGGGTTCAGGGGATTCTGGTTAACTGACTTAACAAAATTCTTACTGAGCGCAGATCAGGGTGCAGGGCTGGGGCGTGTCAGGGCATGGGAAACATGATCAGATGTCAAGGAGGATACGATAATCAAGGGTGGGTAGGGGGGCTCCTGCTGAACTTACTCCGCAGAGTTCTTTCCTAAAACCGGATTTGGCAAGGAAGAACACAGGAGGGCATAGGAGAAGTGTCAGGAAGCTGACTGATGTTTGATCCAGCAAAGACTCTTTGTCAACAGCCCAGAGAAGTGGACTCAGCTGTGCAGCCAAACCAGGCGGCCAGGGCTCCTACAGCAGTACTCTTAACACCCAGAACTGAAAGCAACAAAAATGGGAATCAACAGTACTCTGGATAAATAAATTGTAGTGTGCAATGGAGTGGATTTTTATAGTTCAATCAACAAGAATGAACAGCTTCTGCTTCAAAAACCACGGAGATAAATTGTATGTAAATACTTTTGAATGACAGTAAAAGACCCAAAATACAGCAGAATGCTCAGACATCATACACGCTAGAATCTATTGGAATGTGTGCAATTCACTTTCTGGTGACATAAATTAGACTACTGGGCATCTGAGAGAAGACAGAACTTAACAGGGATGTGTGGGTTTTCTCAGGCGCTGGCGATAATCTCCTCCTGAACTTGGGAGGTGGATACTTTGTGATAATTAATTTGTGATGTGCAGTTTTCTGTAGGAATGTCTGTTACTTCTTTAAAAATTCAAATGCGCACCACACATAAAGCCTTCCTGAGCTGCTTCTGCGGGCCTTGCCCACTTGTTCCTACGGGTGAGGCTTCTCCAATCCAGATTCACCTCCTCACCGCTGAGGGCCCAGAATGAAATCCCACAGTGGGGGCGCCAGAGCCGCGAGGGCTGGACACAGCTGCAGGGACCAGCACCACGTTAGCCCCCGGGGTGGTCTGAGCAGTGGGCAGCAGAGCATGGGACAGGCTGGGCGGTGAAAGCACCCCTCTCTCACCTCTCCGGGCTATGCAGAGGCGCAGAGTAACGCACAGTAACCACCTTGCGTTTCCAATTGTGAAAGGGCTGGGAGCTGACACCGCTCCTCGACAGGGCGGCTTAGTTTCCGCCACAGTGGGAGAATCATACAGGCAACAGGCACTGGGATCTCAGGAGCAAACTTTGTTGCAGCCCACTGCATAGTCACACATAACATGTTTTATCTATAATTCTTTTTTTTTTTTTAACATAGCCTTCATGTCATTTTCTTAGTTATTGTTTTAAAACGTTCACATTGTACTCTTAGAAAGATTCACTTGTACCCTTGTAAGATAAACCTCAGAAGTGATCCCCCCAATCCCCCTCCCTCCACTCATTCCCCCCTACAATTCTTAAATGGAGGACACACACAACAATCTGTCCCGGGACCCTCGAAAGGGCATGTGGGGTTTCCTGCAGCCAGTTAGGCAGGCAGGAGTGTCCCAGCTGCACCAGCCACTGGACGCTGAAGGTTGCCCCGCTGCCTTCTTCCAAATCAAGATCTCACTGAAATAAGAAGCAAACCATAACGATCCTTACAGAATGGTATGTTCCGCCTGAAACAATCCCCAGACATGTTGTTACAGAATATGATTTATCTTTAGTTGTTAAATACCGTAGCATTGGCCAAGGGTCAGGAGGTCTGGGGATGCCTACAGTCCAGCCAGATCCACAGGGACCAACCCACATTCAGCCCACAACAATTAAAGTGACACTTGAATTCGCAAACCTGGCAGGCCTGAAAGTGAGATCCCAGCTATTAAATATATAGTATATTGAAATATATGGAAAATTAGAGAATCCCAAAGTGATAGGTAAACTCCTAAACTTAAATAATAACTAACATTTTTAGAGAGATGGTGGTAGTATAATTATTGTAAGAGAATGCTTAGATCAGAAATGATCTTTGTTTGAGTCAAATCATCATATTGTCAGGAAAAACGTAAGGGCAGTAAACTTCAGGGTGATTTTTCATTTTCTTTTATTTTGTTCTTCTTCTTTTTTTTTTTTTTTTTTGTGAAACAGTTTCACTCTCACTTGGGCTAGGGTGCAGTGTCAAAATGATAACTTATGGCAACCTCAGACTTCTGGGCTCAAGCTGTCCTCCTGCCTCAGCCTCCTGAGTAGCTGAGACTACAGGTATACCACCACACTCAGTTGATTTTTTATTTTTATTTTTGTAGTGTCAGGGTCTCACAATGTGGTCAAGTTTGTCTTGAAGTCCCAGCCTTAAGGGATCTTCCTGCCTCGGCATCCCAAGGTGTTAGGATTGCAGGTGGGAGATACTGCATCCCGCCCCACCGTGATTTTTGATGCAGACATATAAAAGTGTGTCTGACTGGTGAACACAGTTCTGGTTCCAGCTACCATCAGACAGAGCGACGACCCTTGCCACCCTGATTCTCAAAGAAGAGTCAGTTTATGAATCATGCCTGCATGAAGGGAAATAAGATTCTGTAGGATGTATGCTACTATAACAGTATGTTCCTAGCCCTACCCTTCCCCTCCACCTGTAGGTTTGGGGGCGTTTACCTGGAGGAAGGGAATGGTGTGAGCTTCTTATAGACTCTTGGAGCCACACTCCGTCTTCCACTGGCTACTAGGGATGGGGGATATTCTGATGACCTGGTGATGAGATTTCTTTGGGTCAAGTAGTAGAGGAAATTGCCAGCAGAGTTTGCCTCCTTTTGAGCCCAGTGAGAGTCTAAATTGTTCATGGCAAGCTCCCAGTATAAGTGGAGATACTTCCCGCTGTGTATAGTAAGGAAATTGAAAGAGACCAACTAGAAATCATAAGAAATAGTAAATTAAAGCAATACTGTGTCTCTGGAGAAATTGCAGCACAGTTTAACGGCTAAAGATACAAATGCGACTTGTATCACAGTATTACTGCATTTCCTTATTTGGCCTTTGCACTTACTTCTTAGAGAATAACAATGGATTTTTGCAAATTTAGTGAGGTGGCGATACCTGTCACAGGTGGTATGTTCAACAGTTTGTCAGGTAAATTCTTAGTATTTACTTTACAGATGATAACTTCGTGAATGCATTTTTCTTTATTCTGATTTAAAAACTAAATACAGCAAAAGAAAATAAAGTAGTACCAGGAACAATATGTAGGATTCACAGACACCTGTGGGAGTGACGTTATGACAGAAGCCTAGAGAGACAGAGTCCTCCCCCGACTCCTGGCAGCCCATAGTCTGTGCATGTGATTGTAGCACTTTCTCTAGATGGAAAAATGAGTAGTTTCCCTTTGCACTTCCTGACACTGAGAGAAGGCAGGAGACTCCACTGCTGAATGATTCTCTTATTGTTTTTTAAGGCAAAAACTATGTTTTTGTATTTACACACATGTATCAGTAGAGCTCTGGGCACCTGATGTCTATCTGACAGGTGAATCTCAGCTGAGGCTTTGAAAATGTCAGAGTGAGTTAAGTATTGTCATTTTGTGAAATTATCCTGATTGGGTTTTGGAAACAATGAACAATTCATGTGTCTGTGGCATGCCCTGCTCTAACTGTCACTGTTATTGTCTGATTCTCTGGCTGCTCACTCAATTACAGCCAAGGGGACTGCGCTGCCGGGAGCCCCAGTGGCTCTGACTCAGTTGCACAGCCAGGCTGATGAGATTTCCATGTGCCCACAGCGGGACTGCTCCTTTCTGCAGCTTCGACTGTGTCCTCACGGGAAATAGTCTATAAACAACTGACCTCAAAGTAAAGATGCTGAACCCAGTTACACACACCATTCATGATCTGCCTATACCAGCCAGAAGTGAACAATCTTAGAAATCTTCATTAAGATGTGATCGAAAGTGTCACATGAAATTTAGTGAAAACATAATGTTACACACAAAAAAACTTTTAACAGGATTATGTAAATATTGCTGAATAAAATAATGACAGAAACCATGAATTATGCCTTAAAATGTAATTTATTGGAAAGAAGAAAGAAAAAATCTCAATCACTGCACACAATTATTTGAAATGGTGGCACTTACAGAAGAAGCAATTTGAAGTCTTTTTAAACAAAATCTCCACTACAGAAACTTAGTAAAGACATCAACAGCCTCTGTTAAGAGCCCTCCATGCTGGCATAACATAACTGGGACTTAGAACAAGAAACTCTCCAGAAAGATTTAGTTAAAGAAAAAGATGATGCACCATCTAAAATACAGCAGATAACCCAAGAAGAAAGGCTGTACTGAAAACAGGGTTTTCCTCTTTTAAGAAACAGCCAAACCCTTCGGACAGGATGGTTTTCCATGAGAAGCAGGAAGTAGAATTCAGAGAATGGAATTTTCAGTCACATCTGTAAATAGAAAGAGAAATATGTGGTTAGTTATATTAAGGACTATCGAGGCAAGGAGATGCTTTCATTATACAATATATTTTACAAGGCATTATTTTCAGATTAGACCAGCTCACAATGTTTGTGTTTTCCTATTACTGACACACATTTCTAGTGCTATTTATTTTTAAGATTTAAGACAATTTCATACTAAATAATATTTACTTTGTAGTGTCACAGAAGAAGATGAAGCAGTTAGAAGAAAATGCTTCCACAAAGGGCAGAGTTTCATCATTTCCCTTAGATTTATCTATTGAAAGGAAGTTTCCACCCCTGAAAGGGAAACACACACCCACACGTAAGTGGAAGCTCCGACATTGTGGGTGAAAGTAACTGAAACAAATCTGTAGACCTTTCAGCTGGTGTGGACAGTCAAATACCAGTTTCACTCTGGGACTTGCCAAGGATTCTACCGCATGACCACAGAGAACGTCTCTCACTGCCGGGTTAGCAGAGGCTCCCAGCCACATCTTCCCGGGCAATTAGTGACATCTACATCATACTTGTATATGAGTTTCCAATATTATCATTTTTAAGTTGCTGTTTAAATGTATTATGATCGTGGAAAAGGTTTTCACATGGACATATGATCCATAGTAATTCCCAAACTTACCAGAGGCCATAATTGTGGAGTTCTTGAGAATTGACTTAATTCTTCTGAAAGGACAAAAAATTGTTAAAATCATGTGATGAAGGCATTCAGCAAAAACTACCCCCCTCAGTAGGTGCATTTCATAATGCCTGTGAAAAAAGGCATTTCACAAAAAAAGACTGCTGTTTACTTAATATCTATGTTCCCAACACTCTTCCTACTAGAGATTACTGCATTTTATTACATTTAATGTTATAAGGTAAAACACCATTATATTGTTTCAAATAAGCAAAAATGTCAGAGTTTGAATTTAAGACTACTGAATATCAAAATCTGTGCTCTATTTATCATAAGCATAACCAAAAAAAAGGCATTTAACGATTAGTAAAAGTGCAAGGAGGATAATGCTGAATCATCTATTGGATGTCCTTATATTTTTAATTTGGAGAGAGGTCTTTTTCCACATCTTCATGAGAATGAATTCCACTTACAGAATAGATAGTGGATTGGTACTATTCACAGATGACAGAAAGCATTGCCCCTTACAGAAACGTGCCATCCATTATGGAAGTTTTAGTATCACATGGAGACACTGATGTTTATTCTACACCCGTTCCCACGGTGTGGCTCCTCAGCTGCTGTCTTATTTCCTTCGGTAGAGTGTCAATCCACGGTACTGTAAATGAACTCACCACAACTGCAGCCTGACGTCAGTTGTTTCCACGTTCTCGGAGGCGGTGGGCCTTGAGAAGTCTTGGAATGGCAGGAGGGGAAGATTTGCCATGTACTGTGGGGGGTAATACCATGCGGGATAAGGGTAGGCATTCAGCGGGTTGATTTGTGGGATAAGCTAGAGGGGGGACAAGTGGAAACCAAGTATATGGGTATTTTGTCTTCAATCTCTGGAAAATCAGACATCTGATTGATTCCCAGACACTTATTAGCATCCCCAAAGATAACTACTTGGTGACAGAAAGAGGAAATCAAAGTCTTTTGTAAGGCAAAGTATGTGAAGAAACTTTTAAAAGGCTCTCTCTCCCAATACTGGAGGAGGTATCAGTTGTTTAAGGCCACAACTCAATACCAAACTGCCAGAACCTGCATTACTCGCAAGGACAAGTTACCACAGCCCAGAGGAAGGCAGGACATGAACTTCATTAGTCTCAATTCATTAACTCATTTTTGCCATTGAGGTCTATAATTTTCCTAAAAGGTGCTGAGGTCAAGGGAAAGGTCCCATGTCCAGGGTCAGCTCAGGTGACGTTCAGAAACCCCAAGCATGGAGAGAAAATAATTCTCTACTTCTCTTTTCAGAACTCTTTCCAAAGAACAGAGTTTTGAGGCCAAAACATTATTTTCCTTTGTGACACTTTGGAACAGTTGCTTCTGTTGGTCTATCATGACATTTTACTCAATTGTTTCTATATAGTAATAAGGAATAATTGCACAGAATTCTCTACATATTTTGTTGGAAACTATTGTTCCTTGCTGGAATTACAAAAAAATGAAATCACTTCACGTATTGCTGTGAACACTGGACTCCATGAAGATTAGAACAAACATGATATCTGGAATTTTCTGTCTATTAAAGCATTTAGACTTTAAAAAAATGTAATAAAGTCAACTCACCTCAACGTAGACTGGGACCTGCTCCTTCAAAGCAAGAGAGAAGAGAAAGAGTTGCCATGATGTGAATGTGTTCTCAAAATCATGTGTTGAAAACTTAATCCCTAATAAAACTTAATCCCTAATGTAACAATGTTGAGAATGGAGACATTAAGAGCTGATTGGGCTGTGAGGGCTCCGCTCTCAACAATGGGTCAATGGTGTCACCACGCAATGACTTCATTATCACAAAGCAGGTGTGTTACAAAAGTGAGTGTGGCCTCTTCTGCTGTCTCACATCTGCTCACATCCTGCCTCTTTGATGCAGCCTGAAGGCCCTAGTAAGGTGCTGGCCCTCAACCCAGATCCTGTAGCACAATGTTGGAACCAGCACTAGACAACCCAACCCTAGTCAGCAGCTGAGACATGCTGCTGTGGCCGAGGTGATGATGCAGCTGGGGGTGCGGTGACATCACAGGCTGTGTTTGGTGCATTTTTGGAAAACACACATACACATGCACACACACAGCACACCCACACTCTTGCACACCTGCAAACACACACAGACCCCAGCTTACCTGATTCACCACTCTTAGGGGCTCTCTCTGAAAAGAAAAAGAGAAACAAAATTACCTCTTAAAACTGAATAAAATTTTGAAGACAGAAGAAACAATCTAAGTGAAATACTTTTCACTTGGGAATGGACATTAAATCTGCCAGTTGCGTTTTTGATTTCCAAGGGACAATTTTTCTTCTAGAGCATATGAAGCATTCTCACCCATCCTTGTAAGATTCATGAAAAGGTAACTAGTGATTAATGTTACAGCAAAGTACAGTTCATAGTAATTGACCATTGCCTTGAAAATGAAATTAGAAGGTTCAGGGATGCTGTGGAATCAATGACACCCAGGTGAGGGAAAGAGCCAGAATCTGCTTGTGTTACTGAGAAACACATTTCACAAGAGAGAAAAGAAGGCTGGCGAGTATTTTGACAGAGATGGTCAGTCTTTCCAGATGATTTCTTCAAAATAAATGTGTCTCAACCATCACATCTCCAATATATTTGCTGAAGAGAGCATAATTATGGCCAAATTTGACATTCTTAAACATAAATTGAATTTGAGAATCAGACAAATTTATTAACATAAGGATATAACATTAAGGAATATGTTAAAAAATTATTGTAACCATGGAGAGTAACAGCTCATAGGGCTTGTGATTATAAATGTGGAGCTCATGTCAGATAAGGCAGCACGAAACACTTTATACTTCAAAAGCCAGAGATAAGAGCTTCTCATCTTCCAGATTAATTAAATAAATTATTTCAGAAACTTGGGAATGAGAAATAGTTGCTCGAGAAGAGAGAAGCCACATTCAGTGTGAGAGGCTGTTCAAAGCAAATCTAAACAGCATCCATCTTTCTGTAATAACACTATATTTTATACCACCAAGGAAATATTACCACCTGGATGGGGTTGTATTCATTCATTCTGCGAAGCTGCTCCTGCATGAGAGGAAATTAACTGAAATTACTTGGACATCTGCTACAGTACATCCATTTCACACTGTCCCCAGGGCGTCACCACCCATGACATTTAGAGTGAACTGTGATCTATGCAGAATTGCCACAAAATATCAAAACACTTATATTTTCTAACTTTAGAAAAATACACTGCTAAAGGCCAAGACCACTAAGGTTTAGAAAAATGAAAAAGTTTGTAAGGTTCTTTGAGAGAAAATAATCTACTAGTTTTCTAGGACTACACATGTTCTGTTCATGGCTCTTTACTAATTATTTAAATTTCCTCTTTGGTAGATTTTAAATAACATATTACCAGTTCTGTGTGGTAGAACATGTTCTCTTTTAGAATATATTTCTGTTATAAACGAATACTCATTACCAAAGCATAACACATGAAAGAGACCTGAAAATATTTTAGATTTAATAAATCATCTTAACTGTGCACGGATAGCTTTGTACAGGGGAGAAAACATTTTGATTCAGCATTTTGATTTAATTCCCTCATGAATAAGATTCACTAGGCACTGTCATTCATTCACAAGCAATGCCGAGTGCCAGAGACACCTCTGTGGAACACAGGGCAGTCTGAGCAAGCCCTGGGGTTCTCACAGTCGGGACAGACCCGCCCTGTCACACCTAAGGTGCTGAAATCTATTTCTTAGCAGCAGGTAATTTCTTGGACTGGTAATGAGGAATGATTAGACCAGCTAATGGGAAGCTGTTGTGCTTAGTTTGTTAGGGCGTTAGACACAGCAGCCTGGCAACTGGAACATCTGGGGTCCACATCACATGTGTCACCCACTGTCCTTGCCCATTGCTGATGGCAGAAGAAGATGTTAAAAAGGCAACTTTGCTAAATTAGGGTAAGGCCTTTTCTAAAGTACTAATGCAGTCACATGTATTTACAATGACTTAAAGAAAGGCTTTTAAAAACATTTATGATGCTCAGATGTGGTGGTGAGCAGCTTGTGTGAGTTTGGCAGCAGCTGAGCTTCTTTCCTGGAGTCCAGGCTGTTCCCTAAGTGGGAAGAAGCTCATTTCATGTCTGTGCTTCCAAAGGTGACCCTGTTCATGATGTCTTCAACTAGCACTGAATTTGGGAAGATAAACATATGATAAATGTTTGAATACAATGTGTCATCGAGGAAGCTATAGAGGATTTGAGATAGGATGTCGTCAGGGTAAACTCCTGCCTAGTTAGTAATTATGGATAAGATATACAAATTTAGTCTAGTCATAAATAAAAAGAATGAGCTTTGCCAGGAAAGACCTGGGCAATCATATAAATAACTCATCAATTGTTATTACTGGTCAAAGGTAGTATAAATAAATTCTTAAGAAAAACAAAAACATATTTAGAAGTGGACATAATTTAAAATTTAATTTACTTAAACTATAATATGGACTATGATTTTGTACTATAATAAATAAAATTTTACCTGCAGGACTTGGTTGTACTTGTTCATCCTTTGAACCTGTTCCTATTTACAAGGAAAGATACTCTTAACTGCTTGACTGCCGTTCCATCCAGCCCCACCATTTTCAGATACTGAGGCAAGAATATTACAATACCCTCCTGGGAATGGAGAATGAGAAACTACCAAGGCTGCCTTAGTGCTGCTCCCACCACAAATAATTTCAACCTATTCCATTTTAAGAACACTAGGAACACTACTTCTTAAGGCAATTTTAGCTTATAATAAATTGCAGTGCAATCTGATATAAATTAATATCTAACTATATGGTGGAATATTATTTTGTACTGTAATAATAAAATCATACCTGCTGGACTTGGTTGTACTTGCTCATTCTCTTAACCTGTTCCTATTTAAAAGGAAAGATATTCTTGATTGCTTGACTGCCGTTCCAGCCCCACCATTTTCAGATACTGAGGGAAGAATATGACAATATCCCCTCCTGGGAATGGAGAATGAGAAACTACCAAGCCTGGTTTATGCTGTTCCCATCACAAATAATTTCAACCTATTCCATTTTAAGGACAGTAGAAACATTACTTCTTAAGGTAATTTTAACTGATAATATTTTGCAATGCAATGTGATATAAATTAGTATCTGACAACTTTACTTACAGTATATCAAATTACCATGACAACTGAAAATGGCTTTTGCTTTCTGAGTGCGAAAATTTAACTCCAGCCAAGTTAAATTAGAATATTAGATGAATTGGAGAAAAGTTATGTTTCTAAAGTTAGCTAACATTTATTGACAGTTTATTACGTGCCTTGAATTGCATTAGTTGCTTTATATCATTTACAATTTATTATTACTGTATCTGTTTAAGAACTGGTTATGGGATTATAGCAGATAAATGAATTATCTGACATCACATCTTTGTAAAAGATAAGCTTCAAGTCAAACACATATAGCCAAATCTCCAGGCTTCAACGTAAATACTGTGCTTTTGGAAAGGAGACTATAAAATACAATATTTAATGGAAAGCATGAATTAGATAGCTGGGATTAAAAAAATGTTAGTTTTATTTTTGGAGGGAGGGGGATAAACAACCATATAGAGTCCATTGGATCACTTACTATAGATTAGCAGATACTGAAAATGAAAAATAATCTATCCATACAACATTCTAGGTCATTCCTTGATATGTTAGACCAACCCTTAATGAAATTTTAGCAGATAATTTCACATTTTCCCTTAGAATGTGTTTCTTCATTCTAAGAAAACATATGTATGAAGGTTGTTTAAGTAAAATTTAACTTAGGCAATATTAATGTATTTTAAATTTACCAAATATATCTTACCTCAGTGATGGCATTGGGAGCAACTTCCTTTAAAGAAATAAAAACATGCACAGTTTTAATTTTATGACATTCATTTACACTTCAGGAGAGAAATTAATCAAACAGACACTATTACTAAATAACTATGGCAACTTGATTTTCAGCCACAAAATCCTGGGTAACTGAGACAACACTTATACTTTGGGGGACATGTTGTGTGCACATGGCTTTTCCTCTGCTCGCAGCTTCCACCAGGACAACACTCTGAAAGTTGGGGCCAATACAAAGTAATCACCTTTGTTGAATTAACAGAAACTTCAGCTAATTGCCTTGGTTTTATTTTTTGTAACTTGCATGAAGGCCTTTTCCCAAAATGAAAGGAGGACTCCCAGAACCTTCTTTGTCTGTTTTTTTTGCTAGATTAACAAGTTACAAAGGATGAACAGTCGTTAGAGGATTCCAAGGTCTGGTGGACCTGGAGTAAGTGGATTTCTGCACAGGATTTTACTGATTTAGGAGCATGATCCTTGTTGGAATTCTTAATGAAGATTGAGGTCTACCAAAATTATGAAGGACAAAATAATTGGGAAAAAAACTGGGTACTGCAGATGGCCAGACAGGATTTTTTTGTCCAGAGATAACTCTTTTAATTTGTCACTGACAAATACTTCTGTTCTTACTTCTTCTGGGTAATCACTTGAAAATGCAGAAAGCATCCCACAGGCAGTGCCTGGTCCAGTGAAATCTTATAGCACATGTAATCTTTACAGTAAAGCAAGTTTCCGTAAGTGTTTTTTAATTAATTGGGACATTGAATTAATATCAAGATCATTTACCTCACTTGATGAGCTGATGCTGGAATCCCTCTGCTAACAGAAAGAGAACCGGTGTTAATCACCCTCCCGGATTTCAGAGTTTAAAGGAAACCAGCCCCACACATGGTCAGCGGCCCCCTTGGGGAGCATTAGAATCAGTGGAGTGAAAAGATTCAGGGTTGCTATGAGGTCTTTTCCAGGAGTGCCAATTTTACTTGAAAAATGAGGAAAAGTCTTAATAACTTATCTGGGAACTTAAAAACTTGATTTCTTTGTATTATTGAAATGAACACAGGTATATCATCAAGGAGGATGCAAAATTGATAGAGATAATTGTAGTAAAACAAAACCTCAAAGAAAGAGCCGTGCTGAAATTGTGACCCAGAATCTTGAGTTAAGTGTTTATTCCTTACTTTGCTTGGGGCTCCTTTGGTGTAAGCAAAATGGAAACTTTAAATACAACAAATGATTTCAAGATGGAACTAAAATTACATTAGCTCTTAAAACATCTACCTGTTTAGATATTTATTTTTTATTTTAAATGCAGTATGCTATATTTACATATAGATATAAAATTGTTCCCAAGTAGATATTTTAAAAGATCAATTTTAATATACAACAGACTACTCCTCTCTGGGGAGTACCGATTAACCCCACGTAATGGGATAGTAGTTTTTCATGTTTATAGAGGCAGCAATACAGCTCCTCTGTCCCAGGCAACAGACCCCTCCTGCCCCTTCAACAGCAGGAAAGAACCATTTCAGCCCCTAGGGGGGAGGGTCTACTGGAGTTTTATTTGAAATATTCATGAACCTTTTGCTTTTTACTTTTTATTCTTTCTTTCAATAAATAAACAATATTTTTACTGGGTATTGATTAAATGGCTCAAATTCTGTGCCTCAATGTTGACTTCATCTGGCACATCTTTGTACCTTCTTGGCTGTAATGCTGCTGTAAGAGAAGTTCAATGGGAGTAGGATTGATTTGAAGTTAGGACTTTAAACATTTTAAAATTCAGTTTCTTATCTTTCTGAAACAGAGGGGATAGCCTTCTAAAAAAGAAGCATGCGGCATCCCACCTAAGCACCCCGAGGCGAGCGTGAGATAAGCTCCCAGTTCCCAGGACAGAAGGGCCTTACCTCGGTCTCTGCCGTCATGCGCTCCTAGGAGAGGTAAAGAGAATTAATTCTATATTTTATGACTAACAGCCAAGTAAAAACCTGATAGTTACCAAATAAAATGTAAACCAAAGAAAATAGAAAACGGAGGCACTATCAAAGTCACAAGGGAAACAATTATAAAAGTTTTGAGTACTTTGTACTGAGCTAAACAAAAGATTTAATTTCCTAGTGTACATTTCAGATTTTAAAAATAGTTTGCTTTTGGATTGTTCTGTATTGTGGTAAACCAGGTTATGTTTTCTTTTAACAACTTATTTTTTTCTTTCCCTTTCTTTTGTGTTTAACTGGACAGGAGACAGAAGAGTGTGCTGAAGAACAGCCAGTGGATTAAATGTCCCAAAGGAGGGCCTGGGCTCATTACTGTATAAATGCTGCAGCAAAACACTTTTGCTGGGGCAGCACCTGTGGCTCAGCTGGTAGGACGCTGGCTCCATATAGCTGGAAGTTGTGGGAAGCTGAGGCAAGAGAATCGCTTAAGTCAGGAGCTGGAGGTTGCTGTGAGCTGTGTGACTCTATGGAGGGCAATAAAGTGAGACTCTGTCTCTACAAAAAAACTCTTTTTCTCCACCTGGTATCATTCATTTTCATGAGTACAACAATAGAAGCAATGGTGGCATTATCCATAGAATTTAAGCTCAACATATTAGTATTGGCTTAGATTTCCAGCTAATTTAGGCTAGCATGATAACTTTTTTCTTTTTTTGAATGAGAGTTATCCATTATTGTTTTGATTTAAGATATTTATTTATATTTAGCAGTGCATTTGAAGGAAACATTTTATTGTTGTTTTTCTCCTTTGTTTTGAGTGCAACGGTTTTAAAACAAAGAGTCTTCTTACCTCAGTTGCTTCATTCCTAGTTTCCTGTCAAGAGAAGGTCATCAATCGATCAAGGATGAAGATATATATTTTTAACTCATAAATTGGGAGCACCTGCTTGGTCTCTTAAAATGCGATCTATTAAAAAGATTTATTAAAAATCTAAAATCTATTTCTAGTAGAAAAATACAGATCCACAGTTTGTTTTTAAATAAAATAATTAGCTGTGACTGTGCAAAGCAGTTTGGAGTCAGGTGCACTGCACGGCTTTATGACACCCCAGGTGAAGCATTCCTGCAGCTTTGGTGATAAAAGTAAGCCAATAATTGCATTTGTTTATTCATTCACATCAGTGCTTAGTCCCTTACAGTCCCTTAAAGTCAATAAATCAGTAATCCCTAGAATTCTCAGCAGAATTCATTGGTTGTTACAAATATGTGACTGAGAAGCTCAGAAAAGGGGAAATGTCATAAAAAACAGATTTTGAAAAACTAAAACATTTTTCCTACCACAAGGACAGATATATCTGTGCCACAATTTTAAGAAAAGCTTTAGTACCTGGATTTCTTCACTCTCTTTTTGTCTCAGAAGTTCTCTCTGCTAAAATCAATAAATCAATAAAGTACAGTTTGTATAGTATATTTTTAAAGGGGCAAACTTTTAAAATAGTTTGAATTTCATTGGCATTTCTTACCCTGTTCAGTTGATTGAAGTATTCCTGAGAGAGAGAGGAGAGATGCTGTATTAATGAAATGGACACAAGTGGATTGACTTCCATAGTCACTGATACTCTTGTTATATGATTTCTAATCTTCAGTGCTTCCTGCTATGTGTTCTTTGTGGCAGATATCTGTGTAAGTGTGCACTTAAAGATATTCTTAAATCTATTCCCCGTGACTGTGTCCTTGTGTGTCTTAGGTGCTATCACGAGTCTCCTGCTTCCCTTTGATACCCTTGCAGTGTGTGCCATGGAGTCCTTCTTACCTGTGTAAGTTCAACTGGTGTAGCCTGAAAAAAAAAAGTGATAAAGATTATATTAAAATTGATTCAAGGATGAGTTGTCCATTAAATTTTTAAGATAATATCCATAAATTAAAATTTGATTGTCTTCTATTTGACAATGAAGTGACAAAACTAGAGAAAAGTACAAGACATTTGGGATATATCATTTATAGTTAAGAAACATTCCATGGTAATGAGCATAGCCATTGTAAAGTTCTACGTGGGTCAGGTAAAAGAAGTCCGTGTGTTTTGGAAAGAGGCAAACACTTAGGTACAAATTAAAAGTTGAAGCAGCCATTTAATGTTTGCAAATGTTGTTTCAGTATTTGTGGGTGCCTGGGTGACCGAATGAAGGGACAGTCAATCAAGTGAAGTGAAAAAAGTTTTATGAACAAAAAATAGACGAATTTTCCCCCCAAAAGTATTTTCAGCTTTTAAGAATAAATAGGTAAACACTTACCACATCAAGCCTGAGAAAATTTCTTTGTTTCAGGATTTCCTGCTGAAATTAGATCGTGAATTATAAAAATGGTAAACACCAAAACAATGGTGTTTTGTCATTTTTTTGAGAACAAATGTTACACTTGTCAAACCAGCATATTTCTTAGGTAGAAGAGAAAATAATAGTTTCAGGGTTTTAAAAAATTTCAATGTATTTAGGGGATACAAGTTTTGTACAGGGACATATTGCACATGTGTGAGGACTAGTCTTTGAGGACTACTCTGTCCTTTGTCTATCACCAAAATGTTTAAAGAAGAAATTGAATAGGCTTTTCATCAAAAAAAATGGAGAAAATAATCCAAGGACCTGGGTACTTGCACACATATGAAGGTTAATAAAAATCAGAATGAAACATAAAAGAGGTAAAGTCTCCACCTTTTTTTTAACCCTGCAAAGTAGTCCATGGTATACATATCCCATAATTTATTAATCCATTTATGGGCCAATGACTTAATAAAAAAAATCAGAATGAAGAAGATGTTCAATGTTCATGACTGAAATGATACAGAGGAGGTGAGGGGAACTCTAAGTTCCCTGTAAAGAGAGCTTACCTCATGGTTATCTGGTTGATTCTGCAGAAAATTAAGAACAAGTTTAAAAAGTGGCATTAGTTCATTGTAGAACTAATGAAGGTACTTGTAGAAGGGTGTGGTAGTGATAAGTACCACATTGCAAGATTCAATATGCAAAATGAGACAAAATTGTAAATCATATGCTTGAATGCACATAAAAGAGATAGAAATAAAAATACACTGAAATAAATCATGTTAACATACTCTGTTTAATTAACTATTTCTCTTGAATAATAAGACTTTTATTAATATAAATGTTTATGTAAGTCCATGTAACCTCTTCTTAAGAAGTTTTGTAAGAGCAGATAACATCTGTCTGTCTATAAACTGAAGGAGTTATGCCTTAGCCAAAGTGAGACAGATTGTTTCATAGAGAAGGAAAAATAATTTTTAGGGTATGTACTCTCTTTACACTAACACTTAAACTGCATGATTAGAGCAAGTTCTTGGAATGTAGAATAGAATACTTACTTGAATGATTTCTCGGGGTCTAACAGGACTTTTCTATGAAAAATAATGCAAGAATTTTAAAACAAAACCAAAACAAAGCAAGCAATCAAAGTGACAATCATAACACACACACAATACTATGAATTTTAACATTGTTATTTAAGAAAGGTGTGTATATTAATAGCAATATTTGTCAGAGACCAAGATATTCTGGGAACAAAAAGAAAAAGAATTATAATTATTTTATTGAATCTGTGTATCACTTTTGGTAGTGTAGACATTTTAGAAATGTTGATTCTGCTGACCCATGAGCATGGTCTATATTTCCATTTGTTTACATAGTCTGTGATTTTCTTCCTCAGTAACTCATAGTTCTTTTTGTAGAGATATTTTACTTTCTTGGTTAAATATATTCCTAGGCTTTATTTTCTTTGTTGCTATTTGGAAAGATATTTGAGTCTTTGATTTGATTCTCAGATTGATTATTGTTGGTGTGTAGGAATGCTACTGATTTGTGTGCAAACAATTTTGTAACCTGAAACTTTGCTCAATTTAGTCATCAATTCCAGGAGTCTTGGAAGAATCTTTGGTGTGTTCTAGATATAAGATTATATCATGAGCAAAGAGTGATAGTGTGACCTCCTCTGTCTCCATTTGGATGCCCTGATCTCCTTCCCTTGCCTGATGCTCTGGCTAGGACTTCCAGCATGATGCTGAATAGAAGTGGTGACAGTGGGCAGCCTTGTCTTGTTCCAGTTCTAAGCAGGAACACTTAGAACTTAGTTTTTCCCCATTCAGTATGATGTTGGCTGTGGGTTTGTCACATATGGTTTTTTTATAATTTTGAGTTATGCTTCATCTGTGCCTATTTTGTTAAGAATTCTTATCATAAAAGGGTGCTGAATTTTGTATATGCTTTCTCTGCATTTATCAAGGTGATCATATGGTCTTTGTTCTTGCTTCTGCTTATGTGTTTTAAGATTAGTATTCCCAGTATCATGAGTTTGACGAGTCATAGGTCATTTCTAGCAAGACTCTGGAACCTAAATTCTCAGGTGGCACCTGTGGCTCAAAAGGGTAGGGCGCCGGCCCCATGTGCCGGAAGTGGCAGGTGCAAACCCAGCACCAGCCAAAAACTGCAAAAAAAAAATTAATAATAATAATTTAAAAGATGGTATTTAGAACCTAAATTCTCTATAATGCTTACAGGTCTGGCAAGAGCAACAGCCACAAGGCAGGTAAGTATGAGAAGCTTCATGGTTGTCAAGGTCTGTGAAAGATGAAAAAAGAAAAAAAAAAGAAATGAAAAATCATATTATAATACATTTTGTTTCATGAAAAAAATAATCCTTGATTTTTCAACAATGGGCCTCATCAATACAAACAACAGTAAATTATGGTAAAGGTAAGTTCACTTGAGAAGCAGAACTTTTATAAACTTAAAATGTTTTATTTTGCTCCTTAATGCAAGTGTTTATCATTTGCACTATGTTTCTTAGATCTTGTATTATTTTGAATACTATTTTCTTAAAACAATTTTAATTCACCAATACTCTAAAACAAGATATTTGCCCCTTCATGTGGTGATATGACTTCATGAGAGGAGGACAGAAGCCCAATATCCAAATGCAGTTAACAGAAAGAACAACACCTTTCCTCTCAGATCATCATATTTGTTAAAGTACATAATAAGCTAAAATCACTGAGAACTGTAATTAACTTTGTTGGAAATATTTTGATGATATGCTATTCTAGTAAATATATTCGAGAGCATTCTTTTTTTTTGTCATTAAAAAAAATGCCATCAGCACATTATACTGAAGCTATTAAACTCTATGGATTATATCTTGAATTATTCTAGCTATAACTCTGTGCTTTTGTATAGTAGGACGTCCATGACATCACTATATTCTAGCTATAACTCTGTGTCATCCATGACATGACTATATTCTAGCTATAACTCTGTGCTTTTGTACAGTAGGATGTCCATGACATGACTATATAAGGATGATAGAATTGGAAGGAATAATAAAATTCAGATGTATTAATCATGTTTGATTTCTAGATTTCCATCAAACTGCAAGAACCCAGAAATACTGACATTCACAGGTACTAGGAAAATGGTAGTTTTCCAGAGAAAGTAAAAAAGAAAAATCAGGTTATAATTTCCATTTGTTCACACCTTAGCCAACAAATTAATGCTGATTTAGTTTTATATACTGCTTCACGCTACAGATTACAGAATCTAGATGCATTGGTAAAGAAGGCATATTTTTAAACCCAAATTAATTTATATCTATCATCTGTGTCATTCCAGGTATCTAAATCTAATTATATTTAAAAGGTAGTCATTTATATTGAATAGTCTATCATTCATATATATATTGTAGGACTAATTTTATTATTCAAACTATATGTAACAAAAATAAGCTTGAAATAGTTTGCCAGAAATGGTTTTTGATATGGTAATTACAAAATTAAATTATTTTGCATAACAACTTTTCATAAAATTGGACAAGATAATTTAAATGACTTCACTATGATTTCCATTAAAATTATGTGCCTACTTTTTGTGAAGTTTTAAATCATCAAAAATGCATTTAGTCTTTATAAAATTATACTGTTTTCAATCTAAAGCTCAAAATTCACAAATGCAAATTTTAAGCTAATAGTATCTCAGAAGGTATTAATATTTGAAAACATACAGCAAAGTTATAAATACATCCCAATAAAAAGTAAGAGAAAGACATTAGAGAATGTAAAATCATAGTAATTTTACAACAAACACAATACCTTAGACCCAAGACTGGAAAGGAGCAAGCTGGGTTGATGACCAAGGTGATGGGCGATCTCTTTACTTCACAGCTATTTAAACCCAGTGATTAGCAAAATGCTAATTTTGTGGTTTCAGTTCACCCAATAGGTTTATGTAAATTCTAAGAAGTCCCCACAATAGGAAATTAATTTCCTGCCCAATTCTTTTCCCAGGAAATTCTGAGGAGAGTTTTCAACAGGAAGTGATTCATAATATGATAATAGGTTATATAGGAAATGAATGAGCATTATTGAAAATTAAAATTAAATTTAAAGATTTATGCTTATTATGGGAACATGATTTTATGCTGAATGGACAATTGAAAAGACAAATATGTCAATAAAGTTCACTTCATAGCTTTTGACAAATTCAATTCCTGTAAGGGAAATCCTTGGGACAAAATAAGATTTTTAAAAATTTTCAGTTTTTGTCAACATACTAGGCCATTAAAATAATTCATTATTTCACTTTTAAAATACAACTTGTATGTTATCATTTATTTTGATTATTTACTTTATGGAGTAATTTCCATTATTTGTGCTCTGATCTTTCTTTCTAAGAAGGAACTCCAATCGTCCTGTATGTTTTGGTGCTGTTTTCGCTACTCCAGGTAATTCTTTTATTTGTTTTACTTTAAGCATACTCATGATAGAATTCACTCATTGAATTATAATACCATTTAATTAAAAGTAAGATTTATTCAATAGTCATAATTTTAAAAGTTTTTTTTAAAAAATTAAGTGATTTTTCATCTTTTAAAGTAAATAAAATGAAAAAATGTATTTTTCATCTTTTAAAGTAAATAAAATGAAAAAATATAAATTCCTCTTTCCAACCCCTATTTCTGCTTCTAAAATTAACTAATATTGTACACTGTAGAAAAAAATATATGCTAAAGAAAATATCCATGCATAAGAGGGCTTTAAAAATTTGTTGTCAATTGTGAGTTTGCTTTTTATACCAGATAGGAATCATATTGTACAGAGTGGCCATGAAGTTCATGTGCAATTATGGACAGCCTGTACATTTTAAATAATAAAAAAGAATGATCATACAGTCATATAGCGGGAATATTATTCTGGATGAAAAGACATTTCAGCGTGATTTGGGGTCCTCACACTGTGCCTGGAGACGGTTCTCTGAGCGAGTGTCCCTGCTGGCTGCACACCACCCCCCACCCCCATCCTGCTTCCTGTTCACGCAGACTCCCTGAGGGCTGAGGACCAGCTCCCTCAGTGGCTACACACCACCATAGGACTTTGCTTTTGTCTTTTACTCTTAACTAAGAGTCATACTGTATGAAAATCTACTGTAATTTGTGAAAAGCTTCTGTATCCTCATGGTTTATTTTTGTGTTCACTTATTTATTCAGAAAAATGAAGAAGCTGGATAGGCTCTGGGGATATAAAAGTTGAGCGAGATAAAATGCCAGGCCTCACAGTATGGTGGGTGATTAACACACACAAACACACACACACACACACACACAAACCCAAGAAATTTTAATGTGTTACAGGTAGTCCAGAAATAGAGATATGAGCAGGGCCCCTTGGAGGGCTTATGTCACACACATACACTTGATCCTCAGAAGTATTAACATCATAGAAGAACCCCTGGATTTCTGGAAGTGTCTAACATTATAAGACAAGTCACCTCTTAACAAATTTACATAACTGCTCTAGGAATTCTCATGAACTCAAAATCCAGGGATTTTAAAAACTACGTATCAGTCTTCATTAGAATTAGGTATTAAAGAAGGCTAATTAGGTTTCCTTGGGTTTTTAAAAAAATAAAGTATTCTTATCATTGCACAATAAAATTGTTCACTATAATTTGAGAAAACTTTTTTCATGCATTCATTGTGGATTTGTGCAGTCATTGCCAAGTCTGCAAGATTTTAACCAGGGACAACATGCTTCCTCATGACCATCGCCCATTGCTTTTATCAGTTAAATTTGGTCAGTTCCAACCATTAACAAAGCTCAATTTAACGAAATATTTAGGTCATTTGTGATCAGATGGGACTTCGCCCGATGAGGAAAGAAAAATGGTATTATCTCCTGGAAGTTATTATCAATTTCCTGGTGTAACAGGGTCATTTGTGGGTTGAACATATAACTGATCATTCGGTACTGAACATCTCTGATAAGGAAAAGGTCCGTTCTTAGTAATCACAATGGAACATGGAACAACAGACATAAACAAGACTGCCAAGGTGTACCAGGGTATGAGCACTCTAGTCAAACCACACGACCACTTTTAAAAACCCAAAAGAATCCCTAAACAAATGGAGGTGGAGAGATGGCAGATAAGGGACAACTGAGTGTTGATCTTCTCTGTTTTCCAGCTTTTAGATACTGGAAATTTTTTTTTCTTGTATTCATACAAATTAGAAAATCAGTATAACAATGACAGGAACTCAATTTGCAATAGACTTAGACTTGGGGGAAAAAGCCTAGGCCAAGAATTAAATTTCACTTTGCAAAGTTATGCATATCATTGCTGCATGCTCTGTTCCACACCTGAACCTGCTCTGAGGGACTCATTTTGTATGAAGAAGTCAGTAATTCAGAACATGAAATTTCAAAGACAGTTGTCATAGTTGGCAAAAGAGTGTTGAGTCTTCCAGGAAAATTTCCTTTTATTATGCAACAAACAGCTAACCTTCAAGAAGGAAACTTATTGAGACGTGTGAAAGATATTGTACTTTTTCTCTAGAAACCCACACATAATTTGGAATCTACAAGAGGGCTCATAATGGACACTCAGTAACTGCTCTTGGGCACTGTGGGTACAAAACATCGACACCCAGAAACTCACAGAAACAGAAATCAAGTTTTGTTGGGAAGTTTTTGTCTAGCAGCTGATAGCACTGACACACAGAGCCTACTCCTAATTTCATGTTTGCCTCTAGAGCAATGTCCTTCCAAATCTATGATGCCTGGTCAGTGGGTCCCTGCAGATCTACAGGGAAGCACACAGTCTAAGGAAGGGAAGCCTCTCGCCCCTGTCAGTTTAAACCTGGCTGTCCCTGACCATCAGTGCAACCCCTGGGTAAATCGCTGTGCTGTGGGGTCCCACACGTTCAATAACATCCACTTTCTATGCAATTAGGAGGAAAAAGTGAACATGATTTTAAAAAACTAATTATTTTCTACCCAAATTATCTTCTTACTTCACGAATTTGTAAACTTTTAATAATTCAAAGTTAAACTTTTTTATTTCTCTCTATATGGTAAATGTGTAGAAAGACAAAAACAAAATTTCTAACTGAGATCACCCATAAAGAAGAGTTGGGGTGGTGCAGAAGAGGAATGTGGAACGGAGAACTTAGTCCCTGTGTTTAATGAAGTTCTGCACTGGTTTATGCTTTCACAGAATAGTGACTAAAACAATCCTTCTCAAACTTCAATGTGCTACAAATCACCAGGCTCTTGTTAAATTCAGATTCAGGATCAGATTCCACAGGTCTAGGGAGCATTCTGAGACTCTGCATTTTTAAGCGAGTTCTCAGAGGAGAACTGCTGGTCATCTGTGAGACACACCTTGAGTGGTGAGGAACTCGGAGATTTGAAAATGTAATGTACAGTCTTTCCTTTAAACTTACCCCATGGTGCACATAATGTATAAAATACCATTGGGAAAAATGTTAAAACATGCATAACAAAACCAGAGATGTTTAAAAGTGCTGATTTACATGTTCAGGAAATTGTTTATCTTCACTGCAATGTCAAAAATAAAGCATTTCTTCACCCAGGCCTAGGCTTTCTCTGCAGGTAGGATGCTCCCTAGTTATCTGTCTGTGTGGTACCTACACCTCCACGCTCTTGTTACCTCCGGAAAAAAAATGTATTCCTTTTCCACCAATGAGACCTAGACATCCCTGAGAATTGGATTAAGATTCAACTCTGGTAACTACAACCTATGCATTTATCCATAGTAAGTTATTTCTGAAAGATTGTGATTCTGAGGAATGAAGGGATTTTTGCCAATCACAAATATCTCTTCCTCTGACTTGGCAGAATGTAGTGTTCATAATGGATAGACTATCCTGGGTCTGAAGCATTGGGTATGCTTATTTCATATTGTTTTATGGTAATATAATGCACGATCCCGCAATCCTACTGTGGGGCCTTCATCCAAAGGGAAGGAATTCAGTGTTCAAGGATCTCTGGCTCCCCGTGTTTACTGTGGCACTTTTCACAGCAATCAAGATACAAATCAGCCTAGTGTCCAATCACAGATGAATTGATAAAGAAAATTTGGTGAATATATATGTCAGAATACTATTTGGCCATAAAAAATAAAATCCTGCCATTTGCAGCAAAGTAGATGGAACTAGAGGACATCATATTAAGTGAAATCAGACAGGAACAGAAAGTCAAGCACCACACATCTTAACTCACGTGTGGAAGCTAAAGTAAGTTGACTCGTAGAAGTGACAGTGGGACAGAGGACAGTAGAGCTGGGAAGGACGGGGAAGCGAGGGGTGGAAGGAGATTGCTAAAGAACACAGAATTACAGATGGACAGGAGGAACAGGGCTAGCGTATCACGCACCATAGGATGAGTCTAGTTAACAGTGATATACAGGGTGTCCATAAAGTTTGTGTGCAATTTAAAATAGTTGACTATGTCGTTTCAAAGAGCTAGAAGGAGATTAAATATTCCCATCACCAAGAAATGATAAATGTTTGAGATGATGAGTGTGCTAATTGCCCTGATCACTGTACATTATATGTGTTGAAACTTCACTGTGTACTCCCTAAATATGTACAATCATTATATCAGTTATAAATTAGAAAAAAAAGAAAATAAAAGAACAAGTGTTGATGCTGACGTGGAGATGGTGGAAAGCCTGTGCTCTGGGGGTGGGAGTGTAAATGGAAACAATGCGATGGATCTCAGAAACTGAAAGTAGAATAATCTTATGATTGAGCAATGCAATTCTGGATATATGCCCCAAATGATTGAAATAGATGTTTATTCATCCATGGTGATAGAAGCATTACTCACATTAGCCAAAGGAGGAAG